CTCACACAGAATATCTGAAAATCGACAAAGAACTGTATCATTCTAGACAAAAAAGAAACAAACAAAAAACACAAGCAAAAAGCTACAATCATTCCGCCCTCTGTATCAATCTGACGGAGATAACCTTGATAGTAGAAAGGTCACAAAAAAAAATCTGGCGTGTAGATACCTGGTTCTTGTCCCCACGACAAGCGGAGAGCCCCAGAAAGAATCCTGACATATCCTCCATGACATCCAGACAGAGAAGAGAACCCTGATTCTTCACCTGTAGATATAATGCAGATTATTTGAGACACATCGTTGAGAGAAGAAAAATCTGCTTACCTTCTCTAATCAAGTGCACAATAAACAAGATGCCCTGGTGTCTTTCGTCAAGTGTTGGAGCAAGGAACTTGATACATTAATTTTTTTTTATTTTTTTAGCACAGGGTATTAATTTGCGAGATGACGCACTACGTTTTACAGGCGTCTGTGGTGCAGCGGCAAGGCGCGTAGCCATAGCATACAGAAAACTCCAGTTCAATTTCTGTCTAAGTAGAATTTTTAATCGAGCGTCTCGGTCTTTCCTGGAAGGGCGTTGTATCCCTTTCCAGTCTGGGTTGATCCTGGTAGGTAAGGATGAAACCTTTCTCCTAAGTGATGTTATGTGTACCGATCAGGGCGTGAAAAAACTGACATAAAAGACATTAAGTTACTCTGTTATGGAGAAGTGACGACACGGATATAAATGCTCACATGTGGGTGCATCCATCTAAATTCAACATTTCGTTTTTTATTTCCATTCCTCAGCTTGTCAAGATACTGCAGCTATTTAGAGTCGTGAGTGTCAAATTTAGCTCCCAGGGATTTTTTTAGAGAAACCACCACCTTGAAGATTAACTCAAATGACACTTCTACTCTCTAAAGAATTCGACTTCCTGAAATTATTCGACTAATACACTATACCTGTGATTATCGCAACCATGGAATGGATTGTACAAATATACTGTATCTTGGAGACACGTCATCACATCATACCCCATAATATATGCAGCGGAGTCCACAGAAACCAAACACATTTAAGACCCCCCCCAAAAACCAGCGGTAAAAAAACAAACACCCCCCAATTTTTTTCTTCTAATTGAGCAACCTCTTTAAACAGAAAACCCTGCTGTTCCGCAGATCTCGGTTCAGGCATACTACACTGTACATTATGCACCTGTTGCCACTTGCGCTATAAGGAACTTCTTGTCTCGTATCTACCCTACCCCTACC